AGATTTGAACCCGCACATCCGTGCGGGTATTTTTTCATTTTATAAAAATATAACAATACCTTTCAAATATATATGATTTACATTATATTGTTATATATTGTATAATTGTATAATCTTATAATTTTAATTATTTTTATATAATATATTGTTGTAAGTTTTAAAATAAAAAATATTCATATATAATTTTTTATATAATGTATTTGTTGTGAGTTACAAAATTTTATGTTAACAATTTTTGTATAAAAATATTATATGATTTAAAAACTTTAATATGTTTCAAAACTGAGTGATATTTATTTATTTCAATAAAAGAATTTTTTAAAAATAAAATATTTTCCTTTACTAATTTAATATATTTTATATTCATTTCACATAGCATTTTATTTTAAAATAATATAGAAAATAACTATATTATAAAATATAACAATTTAATTTTAAATTAACATTAATATAGATATTTATATATATTAATCAGGAAATTAAATAATGCATATTTTTATAAAAATATTTAACTTCTTAGTAAGATCTTGTTAGATATTTTCTCAACAAATTTATTTATAATATCTTATTAGTTATTAAAATATTTTTCCAATTATATACATTTGATTGATTAATATAAATAATTAAATATATCATATTAATGAGATGGTCCAACATGACTTTTTTGTAGTAGATATAAATGGTACTTCTCTTTTAATAGAGAAGACTAGATTTCGACCCGCACAACCGTGCGGGTATTTTAATACGAAATATTTGAAATTATATAATCAAACTTATCAATAAATAAGTATACTTTGATTATTTATGCTATCCAATTTTAAAATCATTTTTATGTGACTTATAATATTATTAATATAAAATTTATAAATTTGTATTTTTGTAATAATTTTTAAAAACATTATTANATATATTTTTTTATTTCTAAATTTGAAATCTATGTAAAAATTAATTAAGTTGGACCTACATAATACATAAACAAAATTTTGGGATATTGTTAAAAGTATTTTACATAATTTTAAATTTTTGTTTATAAATTAAAAATGAATTAAATTTTAATTATATTTTATGATAATTATATTTTCTGATAATTAAAATTTTAATCAAATAATTTTGAAACTATATCTTGAAAAAGATTCTAAAAGATTTTTAAAAGATTTTGTTAGAATTTTCTTAAAATTATTTATTTGTATTTCAAACAAAAATTAAAGATATGAAAAGATATTATAATGTTATGTAAAATTTAATAAAACTCTAAAGATGGTCCAAACTAAAATATCACACATGAAGTGAGTCATGACTTCTCTTTTAATATAATAGATTGTACATCTCAAAAATACTGATAGTAGTATTTGACACATTATTATCATCTCATTTTTTAATGCATAACACGGATAAGAATCGTATGTGTTGTTTTTTTTATTAACACTCTAGTCAATGATCTTCGTTGATGGTACTGGAAATTACAAACAAAGTCACACAAAAGTGATTTTTGTGAATAAGAATGTTTTTACTACGACTTAGCTAATTTCAAATCTTAAAATATTGAAATGTTATCAGTTCAAATTTGAAAAGAGTTAAGTTCCTTATACGGTTAGATGAGCCATCTATTTTAGCTTTAAGAAGTTTCTTAGGTCTCGATTGGTATAGCAGATAATAAAGCAGTAGCAGTATGCTGCACAAGTAGTATGCTACAGAAGTTGTATGCTTTCATTGATTTTTTTAATAAAGTGATTGGCAGAGCATTAGCAGTATACGATTTTTAAATTGTCATAATAGTTAGTAAATTAATATATTCTTTTAAAATAATATATATATTAAATATTAATAATATATAATTTTATTAAAAAGAATGACTTTTCATTATATAAATTATATTTTAAATTTTTTTAAATATTAAATTATTTTTAGATATAACATATTACTCATATATAAAATTATAGTTATAATTTAATTAATTATTATTAAACTATAATTATTATTAAATAAACAAATTAATTAATTAATCATATTTTATATAGAAATTAATTATAATTTATATATAAATTATTATTATTTATTTATTGGTAGAGCACTAAATTAATCATATATAAAATTATCATAAAAGATAATATATAATTTATTTATTAGTGTCTAAATGATATGTTTATATCGATTATAGATAAATTATATTATGTTATGTTTGTTATTAAAAATAATGAATGATATATGTAATAATATAAATTATATTATATTTTAAATGTGAAATATTGTTCTTTTAAAAAAAAAATTATAATTTTTATTTTTATTTTTTAAAATATAAATTTATATTTAATTATAAAAATATTTTTTTTTATTTTTAAACAAAATAAGTTAATTATATATAAATATTATTAAGTTTATATTTTCTATATGCAAATGCTCTCCCAAAAGTTCTATGGGGTTGATTGGTAGAGCATTAGCATAAGCATTATGTTCTCTATTATCCAATCAATATTTGGCAAAGAAGCATTTAGAAAAGCATTTACCAAATGCAAATGCTTTTCAAATGCTTTTTGCTCAATGCTCTCATATAGAGCTTTTGGGAGAGCATTTGCATATAAAAAATATAAAACTTAATAATATTTATATATAATTAATTTTTTTGTTTAATAATGTAAACAATATTTTTATAATTAAATATAAATTTATATTTTAAAAAATAAAAATAAAAATTTTATTAATTTTTTTTTTAAAGTAAAAATATTTCACCTTTAAAATATATATAATTTATATAATTACGTATATCATTCATTATTTTAATAACAACATAACATAATATAATTTATATATTATCGATATAAAAATATTATTTGGACACTAATAAATAAATTATATATTAACTTTTATGATAATTTTATATATGAGTAATTTAGTGCTCTACTAATAATTAAATAATAATAATTTATATATAAAATATAATTAATTAATTTATTTATTTAATAATAATTAATTAAATTAGAACTATAATTTTATATATGGGTAATATGTTTATATCCAAAAATAATTTAATTTTTTTTTTAAATAAATTTTGCAGTTTGAAATATAATTTATATAATGAAAATTCATTATTTTAATAAAATTATATATTATTAATATTATATATATATATTATTTTAAAAGAAATATATTATTTTACTAATTATTACTCCCTCCGTTTCATAATAAGTGTCGTTGTAGAGAAAATATTTCGTTACAAAATAAGTGTCGTTTTCGGTTTTCAAAGCAAAATTTATTAACTTTCTTATGTAATTTATTTTTCTATTGGTTGAAATATGGTTAGGTGTATAGGTAATTGTGTTTTTATATAGAAAATATGTAAAATTAATGGTTTCCTTAATCCGTGTGCACAAGCTTAGAGTGACACTTATTTTGAAACAGAGGGAGTATGACAATTTTAAAATCATATACTGCTAATGCTGTGCCAATCACTTTATTAAAAGCTTTAATGAAAGCATACAGCTATACTGCTTCTGCTTCTGCGGCATACTGCTACTGCTTTATCATCTGCTGTACCAATCGAGGTCATATAAGAGCATTGAGCAAAGAGCATTTGGAAAGCATTTGCTTTTGGTAAATGTTTTTCTAAATGTTTTTTTGCCAAATGTTGATTGGATAATAGAGAGCATAATGCTTATGCTAATGCTCTACCAAACAACCCTTTAAGCGATTTAGAAATAAAATATAATTTCAATACTAAGAAAATTATTAACGATTTAGAAAGTTTTTTTTTTAATCTGGTTTAGAAAGAAAATATAATTGTTAATACTTAGAATTATTAAAATCATAACGAAACTATACTGAAAACTTAGACCAAGAAACAAACTATATTGAATACAGGAACTGGCATGGGTCAAAAGAAAAAAAAACAGGAACTGGCCTGGCCTATCAATTAGGACGGAGTATATACTGTTAAACCTCTATAAATTAATAATGTTGGGACTATACCAAAATTATAATTTTTTATTAATTTATAGAGATTATTAATTTATCGATATACTAATTGAGTCAAAAACTCAATTTGAAACTATAAAATTATATTAATTTATAGAGATTTTTAGTGTATATTAATTTATCGATTATTAATTTATAGATGTTCTACTGTATATGGGAATAGAAAACTACGAACAGCTTAAGATATTTACATAAATATAGGAACAGGGAGTTATCTTTAAATTAAAAAAAAAAACGAACATGATCTTAAGTATTGAGTGATAATTCTTAAATCATTTGTATCGATTTCTTAAACTTTTAAAACACCGTGGTTGTTAGAAAAAAAAAAAAAGATTTTCCCTGAGGTATTTTGATTTTTTCGGTAATTTCGGAAAATAAAAACGTAATTTATTTACTGTTAGAACTACCTGAAAACAAGTAAAAGATATTTTTGTTGGTGACATTGAATTCACATAAAGTACAGTATAAAAGATATTTTAATTACTAAGAAATCTTATAAGAAAATCAACCAATGAGATTCCATCTAACATTCTTATATATCTCGACCTATATATAAACAACTACCGTATCTACGTTCTAATACCCTCTCTCACTCCAGTTTTTAACCTTCTCCTCGGCTCTTCTCTCTTTGCTACTGGCTCTCGTCCCTTCTCCGGTAATATTCCTTCTCTTCTTAATTCATCACAATGATTTCATGATGTGAAATCTGATTTGTCTTGATTCATCCTCTTAATGTAATATTCTTAGTATAATACGAATTAAGCAATGAGAGTTTCAATTTTTCCGCTTGATCTCGACTTTCAATTTCCATCTTTTCTATAAAGTGATAACAATATTGATATAGAAATAAACTTTAATCAACACGTTATGTGCAATTATGCATCCTCGCTATAAAGTTTCTTGTTTTCTTCTTTCTTTTCCTCCTAAAAAGAGTGGAAAGTAGCTACAAACCCATAAATAATCTCTTTTTGGCGATGTGTTTTGTTCTTTTACAAACATAAATAATTGTTTTAAAGATTTGTTATACAGCAATGGCGTTACAGAACGAGGACAAGAACAATGAAGAAAACAAAAAGGGAAAGAAGTGGCAGAAGACTTACTTTGATGTTTTGGGAATCTGTTGTCCATCGGAAATTCCTCTGATCGTGAATATTCTCAAGTCTCTCGACGGCATTAAAGAATATTCTGTTATCGTTCCCACGAGAACGGTGATCGTTGTCCACGACAGCCTCCTCATCTCTCCGGCCCAAATTGGTAAAGCATAAGAATAATCGTTTTATTTGCTCTTAAATTATTTTATTTTTATTTTACAATTAAAACGCATATAACAATAATTTAACACAAAAATAAATAATAATTCAAATATGAACATACATTATTAAGGAAGTTTGAAGTTAAAAAAAAAACACAAAAAAATACTTTGTTTCTGTTTTTAAAGTTGGTTTCGCGTGGTGGGTGGATACGCAAACGCCCCTTTAAATTCACTTTCTTTTGTGATTCAACAATTCTATCGCAAAAGCTTAATTTTCCTTTCCAAAAACATTTATTAAGAGTTTACCAATTCAAGATTTAGAGGGACAGATTATCCTAGAAACTAGGGAATTCATATTTGGAAGATTTTACCAAATCTAGTGAACAAAACTAGAAGCCCGATTATATTGGGTTATTTGCAAATATTGACAATAATCAATAGCTAACTAAATAAATTTCATGTATATCTGTTAGTTATTTTTAATCAGTTACTATATTTTAAATAAACATATCTCCTTTTTCAAAATATGTAACTTATTGTAAATCGCCTTATATAAGGACTATATATAATATATTTATCCTTCAACTAAACAAATAACCCTTACATTTACAAGAAAATTGTTAGAGATTACTAAAAAGAGTAGCAATTACACTCAAAAACATACAAAAAAATTACTAAACAGTACCTTAAAAACAAAGAATCTGAAAATTGCACTTTCTATTCTATTTTGAACGTAGCTTTATGTGCATATAATATAATTTTTCATATTATATATTGTTCAGTCACACATACCACATGTACCGTGTAAAGTATAACCAATACACCTAACTGACATCATAAATAGATTTGATTTTCCAAACATATGCGGAATTTTTTGTTTCAGAAAAAGCCTGTCGAGATACTTACCAAATCTTTTTATCAGAATATTTTGTTGTTAGTGGATCATACTCGTTACGTAACTATATTTTATAATTTTTGTGTGACTGGAAACATATTCCATATGTATTAGACTTGAATAATAATTGATTTCACTTACGAAAAGTTTTATTTTGTAAACAAATTTCTTACATATATTAGTTGTTGAATGATTAGTTAGTTCCAAACAATCTTGTTTTGCAGCCAAGGCACTGAACCAAGCTAGGTTAGAAGCCAACGTGAAAGTAGACGGCAAGACCAGTTTCAAGAATAAATTGCCAAGCCCCTTCGCGGTGCTTTCCGGCATACTCCTCCTCCTCTCCTTTTTCAAATTTGTCTACTCGCCTTGTCGTTGGATTGCTGTCGCGGCCGTAGCCGCCGGTATTTATCCGATTCTTGCCAAAGCCGTTACTTCTATAAGAGGGCTCAGGGTCGACATCAACATCCTGATCATTATAACTGGTAACACTACTTTCATTTTTTTAATAAATTCTTTTTAGCCGCACGACTCAAGATTACGTGTAACCAACCATCATATGTTTTAAATATGTTCATACTATAGCAGGACTGGTTAAAAATAAAAACTTATCAAAATTGTGGTCGTAGTAAAACTAAGACGAAGTTCTCGTCATAGTAGACCTTAAACGACATCATATGCACAACAAATTATATATTTAAGTTAAGAGTTGTGCATCCATATATTACTATATTGATATATTAGATATATATAAATCCACATATATATAGATATATCCGCGTATATATTCAGGATATTATATAGTTTCCTTAAAACTTGCTAATCTTTTTTCTCTCTCTAAATTTAATCTTTTTATTGAAAATTATATCAACTGCTTTACTGCAAACCTAGCACTCCACGAAACCTTTTCTGTTATTTTTTTTCTCTTAATAATTTTAAAAATAATGCGTATAGATTCAGGATATTATATAGTTTTCGTAAATCTTGCTAGTCTTTTTTTTTTCTCTTCGAAATTTAAACCTAAACAAAACTCCTTTATATTTTAGTTGTATGTAAAGTAAAATTTTAGAAATAGGTTATAGAAAATATCAAAAATGTTTTCTGGATATAGGTAAAGTGAACATGTGATAAACTCAGCAAGTTGGTGTGGTAGATAATGTAATAATTAAAGGCGTCTTGAAAATATGGAGAAAAAGATACGGCTTTCTTTTTCTCAAAAAAAAAAAAAAAAGATACGGCTTTCTCATTTTTCTTTACGAAAATATACATTTTCGTTCATTAAGTACGCTTCGAAGTTATTTGAGTAATTAAGTAACATATGCTATATACGCTAATATTTTTAAGCATATAAAAAAAATCTTATAAAAGTTTTATATTGAACATATTTCACAGAGTGTAAACGCAACCAAAAATAGGCAATTTTGAAACATTTTATTGGGAAACAAAAATATATACAGTATATATAAAAACATGCAGTAAAAGAATATTAAATGCATGAAAAAGGACGAGGCTAGTGGAGAAATGTTTGTTTTTAACAGAAGTTTATTTGACTCTTTCCACGCCGGTGTTTTGTGACGATATGAGATATCCGGACGAGGCTAGTGGAGAAATGTTTGTTTTTTAACAGAAGTTTATTTGACTCTTTCCACGCCGGTGTTTTGTGACGATATGAGATATCCGGAAGCTTTGCACAAGAAATGGTTGTTTCATGATCAATTTTCTTTGCTTTATAAAACAATCTTTGAGTTGTTATGGTCAGTGGCGAACCTACGTTCACCAAGTAGGAGGCAGTTGCCCCACAAAAATCAAGAAATACGTGTATTTACATATGAAACAATAAAGTTTTCGTAGCATAATGGTTTCAGTCCACTACTTGTCCCCCCTTAGAGCAGCCACATTAGTGAACCCCATGGTTGGGGTTCACAACTGAATTTTTTTATTTTTTTTTTTCGTTTGACTTTTTTTTTTAAAAAAAGAAAAAAATTAAAATGACCTATAGCGGGCCGCCATGTGGCGTGGGGCCCGCGAAAGAGTGATGAACCAGGTTCATCCTACTGAACCTTGAAGACACAGGTTCACACAAATATGAATTTTATATTTTTTTTTCTTGGGAAGGGGGTGAACCCCATGGGTGAACCCCCAATGTGGCTGCTCTTAGACACAGTACGAACCTCCAAGCTAACCACATATTTCTCTTTTTATTTATTTATGTCCCCACAAAAATTTTACTCTAGATTCGCCACTGGTTATGGTTCCTTAAATTTAGTTGAATACGATATATATATATATATATATATATATATATATATATATATATATATATATTTTTTTTTTTCCCTTAAAACTTATTCTGCTTTACTTTTTTTACAAAAATAGATGATACGTTTGATTGTTGATCTGTTAGACTGTGACTTTCATTTTTATAAGTTCTTAATTTATTTGATAAAAGTTGGAATTGCTATAGAAGGATATTTCAACACAAAGTTCTCAAAATACATATAAATACTAGTATTAATAGTGGGTATCTCAAAATTATGGGAAACCCAAAGTATAACCATACATTATAAAACCAAGTTTGTGAATGCATTATGCATATAAATTCTATTGTGGAATCTTGATTTTGTTTGTCCTTTTTGGAAATGTAATCTTGATTTTGTTTGTTATTAAACAGTGGCTGCAACACTTGCAATGCAAGATTACATGGAGGCTGCAGCAGTTGTGTTCTTATTCACCATATCTGAATGGCTCGAAACAAGAGCTAGCTACAAGGTTTGCAAACTGAGCATCTATTATGTTACTAAACAGTAGTGAGGTTTCTTGATTTCCTTGTATGATCTAAAGCTGAGTTTGTCATGGCATTTGTAATCTCTCAGGCGAATGCGGTTATGCAGTCTCTAATGAGCTTAGCTCCACAGACTGCAATAATAGCAGAGACTGGGGAAGAAGTTGAAGTAGATGATGTTAAGGTTAACACAATTGTAGCAGTTAAAGCTGGTGAAACCATACCAATTGATGGAACTGTGGTTGATGGAAACTGTGAAGTAGACGAAAAAACCTTAACGGGTGAAGCATTTCCGGTGCCTAAACAGAAAGATTCTACGGTTTGGGCCGGAACCATCAATCTAAATGGTAATGTTACATTCTTAACTACAAATGCTTCAAGCTTTGACCTTATCTTTGTATCTTTCACTCTTTAGATCTTTCTCCACTTGTGTTTTGCAGGTTATATAAGTGTGAAAACAACTGCTTTAGCCAGTGATTGTGTGGTTACCAAGATGGCTAAGCTCGTAGAAGAAGCTCAGAGCAGTAAAACCAAATCTCAGAGGCTAATAGACAAATGTTCTAAGTACTATACTCCAGGTAAGAAAAGACATAAGCAGCACTTTTTTATTTTTTATTTTTTTAAATGTTCTTGATTTGTTTAACATGAGACGTTTGTGTTTCTTGTTTGTTTCAGCAATCATCGTTGTATCAGGTTGCATTGCGGCTGTCCCGGCGATAATGAAAGTTCACAACCTCAACCATTGGTTCCACTTAGCACTAGTTGTGTTAGTCAGTGCTTGTCCCTGTGGTCTTATCCTCTCTACACCAGTTGCTACTTTCTGTGCACTTACTAAAGCAGCAACTTCAGGACTTCTGATCAAAAGTGCTGATTATCTTGACACTCTCTCAAAGATCAAGATCACTGCCTTCGACAAAACTGGGACTATTACCAGAGGAGAGTTCATTGTCGTAGAGTTCAGGTCACTCCATAGAGACATAAGCCTACGCACGTTGCTTTACTGGTAATAAAACAAACTTGTATCTGACCCAAAAAACTAGTTTAATGAGATAACTTATGACACATATTTTGTTGTATATAATGTTTCAGGGTATCAAGTGTTGAAAGCAAGTCAAGTCATCCAATGGCAGCAACCATTGTGGACTATGCAAAATCTGTTGATGTTGAGCCTAGGATCGAAGAAGTTGAGGATTATCAAAACTTTCCAGGTGAAGGGATCTATGGGAAGATTGATGGAAATGACATCTACATAGGGAACAAAAGGATTGCTTCAAGAGCTAGGTGTTCAACAGGTAGTAAAAATGAATGGAATGTCTTATGGTTTTGTTGAGTCTGATTCACTTGAGTGTTGCTTCTTGACAGTGCCAGAGATTGAAGTTGATACCAAAGGAGGAAAGACTGTTGGATACATCTATGTAGGTGAAAGACTAGCTGGAGTTTTCAATCTCTCTGATGCTTGTAGATCAGGTGTTATTCAAGCAATGAAGGAACTGAAAGATCTTGGAATTAAAACCGCTATGCTAACTGGAGATAATCAAGATGCAGCTATGCATGCTCAAGAACAGGTGAGGAGACTAAAAAAAAAACAAGATTATACCTGATTATGTAAATCTTAAAATCTCTTTTTTATTTTTTTAAATGGGACAGCTAGGGAATGCTCTGGATGTTGTACATGGAGAACTACTTCCAGAAGACAAAGCCAGAATCATACAAGAGTTTAAGAAAGAAGGACCAACAGCTATGGTAGGAGATGGTGTGAATGATGCACCAGCTTTAGCCACTGCTGATATTGGTATCTCCATGGGTATCTCTGGCTCTGCACTTGCAACACAGACTGGTCATATCATTCTCATGTCAAATGATATCAGACGGATACCACAAGCCATAAAGATAGCGAGAAGAGCTCAACGCAAAGTTGTCCAAAACGTGTTCATATCCATCATTTTCAAAGTAGGAATACTGATTCTGGCAATTTGTGGTCATCCTTTGGTTTGGGCTGCTGTGCTAGTTGATGTAGGGACTTGTCTGCTGGTGATTATGAACAGTATGTTGTTGTTGCGAGAGAAGGACAAAGGAAAGAACAAGAAGTGTTACAGGTCTTCTGGTTTGAATGGTACGAAACTTGAAGGAGAGGCGGCTGAAGAGCTGGACTTAGAAGCTGGCTTGTTATCAAAGAGTCAATGCAACTCAGGATGTTGTGGTGATAAGAAAGCTCAAGAGAAGGTGGTGATGAAGAAACCAAGTAGTAAGTCCACTTCTAACCATGGTCACTCTGGTGGTTGTTGTGGTGATAAGAAAACTCAAGAGAAGGTGGTGATGAAGAAACCAAGTAGTAAGTCCAGTTCTGACCATGGCCACTCTGGTGGTTGTTGTGGTGATAAGAAAACTCAAGAGAAGGTGGTGATGAAGAAACCAAGTAGTAAGTCCACTTCTGACCATGGTCACTCTGGTGGTTGTTGTGGTGATAAGAAAACTCAAGAGAAGGTGGTGATGAAGAAACCAATTAGTAAATCCACTTCTGACCATGGTCACTCTGGTGGTTGTTGTGGTGATAAGAAAGCTCAAGAGAAGGTGATGATGGTGAAACCAAGTAGTAAGTCCAGTTCCGACCATGGCCACTCTGGTGGTTGTTGTGGTGATAAGAAGCAAGACAATGTAAAAGTGCTTGTGAAAGATAGCTGTTGCGGTGGGAAGACCAAGAAACCAGATGGAGATATGGCTTCATCGAGCTCATGCAAGAAGTCTACTCATGTCAACCATAACACGAAACTGAAAGAGAAAAATGTAGAGATGCAGATTCTTGGGGATGAGATAATTGATTTGGAGAAAGGTCTGAAGAAAAAAGCTGGTGAAGCCTGCAAATCAAGCTGTTGTGGAACTAAAGAGAAAGCTATGGAAACATCTTATCTGGAGAAGGATGTGCTGATTAAGGAGACAGTGAAGAAAACCGAGGAGATAACTCTTGCTTCTGAAGAAGAGACGGGCAGTCTTGATTGCTGGTTGGATAGCTGCGAGAACAAGACCACAGTGAAGCAAAGCTGCCATGAGAAGACAAGTCTAGACATTGAAGCTGGTGTAAGTGGTGATCTCAAGTTGGCTTGTTGTGGTAACATAAAAGGAGAAGAAGTGAAAGAGAAACTTGATCTTGAGATAAAGAGTGAAGGACAATGCAAATCTGTTTGTTGTGGACCTGGTGATGAAAAACAAACCGGAGAGATTACTCTGGCATGTGAGGAAGAGACAGACGGTTCTGATTTCTCCTCAGGATGTTGTGGAAACAAGGAGGAAGTGGGACAAATCTGCCATAAGAAGGACTGTCTGGAGACTGAAGCTGGTGTAATTTGTGATCTCAAGTTGGTTTGTTGTGGGAATGCAGAAGGAGAAGTGAGTGAGGAATGTGATCTTGAGAAGGGCTGCGGAAACAAGAAGGAAGTGGCACAAATCTTTAATGAGAAGCCTGTTAGCAAATCTCCATGTTGTGGAACTGGTTTGAAGCAAGAACAAGGGTCGTCTGGTTTGGTCAATGTGGTGGAGAGTGGTAGCAAAGAGCGGGAGATGGTGAAGGTTTCTAGCCAAACCTGTGGCACAAGTTCTACTACTGATCTGGTGTTATCTGACTTGAAAGTGAAGAGGGTAGAGAAATGTTGCAAAGTGAAGACTCCAGAGGCTTGTGGATCTAAATGTAAGGTCAAAGATAAGCGTCACATCAGTAAAAGCTGTTGCAGGAGTTATGCCAAGGCATATTGTAGCCACAAGCACCATCACCACCACCATCACCACCATGTGGGGGCTGCTTGATGGAGACTGTGACTGAATAGCTTCAAACCTCGACGCATCTATCTATTCACGTAACCTTTCCTCTTCAATTAGTGCGGTCGAGATAATACAAGCATGTTTTTATGGTTTTCAGCATAGAGTCGATTTAGCAACTGTGATTCATGAAGACAACGCTAGGGATCCTTGTGTCTTTTTATGTTTGCGATAACAATATGCTCAAGTACTTCTATCTTTTAATTTTCTTAGTCTCTCATTGAAGTTGTTGACAAGCTTATACAAGCTTGAGCAGATCTTAGAGTCTTTAACATTAGACAAAGTCTTTTCTTTTGGCTTAGTTGTTTAAGAACAAATCATGCCCAAAAAAATGATTATTCATTTGATTGATGAAATTAAGGATATGAACTAACAGAAAAAAGTATTTTGTATTAAGCAGATATAGATACTATGGTGGTTTTATAAAAAAATAAATCTGAAGCCAAGGCCGCCTCTGAAGTTTATAGATCTGAAACAATTACAATACACAAACTAGATGATCCTTGATCCATACACATATGTTTTGGATAGTTAGTGTACCGTATGTGATCCATATATATATTAAACAAAATTGGAGACCAATAGGAATGTTTCTTTTTTTTTGTAAAATATAAAGATATTATTACCAGATTTTCATTTTTGACAGAATACAAGAGGATTACAAAAAGCAGATTGAACAAAAATATAAATCCTAAACAAAAACTCGATGCTAGACTACATAAACTACAGACCGAACCGGAGGAACCACAGTTAATACGAGAGCTAGAACCCGGTAATTTTGGCATCCCCAATGATCTACTCTTTAAGATTGACTCCACCAAGAACAGTTCACAGTGGTCTCCTAAGCACCCACACACACAGCCATACAGCAACAGCAGAGGCAAAGCACATCCACTTCAACTAGGCTGAGCATTATTCAGAGAGAAAGACCTCAAAGGAACGCCACACACCAAGGGCAAACACCAAAAAGTTAGAGAAAACAATCACCACCTGAATAGGAGGACATGAGACTGCCCTAGATCATTGTAGCCAGCCATATTAGCACGCACCACCATGGAGAATACGCACTAGACCTTCTTAGATCTGAACCTCAGCAACCAACGAGGCCAGTCAAGAGCTAGACATACGGACCTTAAGACAAATGCCGCCGAAACCAAGGAACAAGCAGAGGAACAAACCTCCACCGTTTGATGAACTCCGACGACGATGCAGAACAAGAAAGCTAACTCCCCCCACGCCGAGAAGGAGGAGCAGAGGAGATGATGTTAGGAGTTTTCAAGGCTCCTAAAACAAATGTTGTAGTATAGATGATTGGCGAACCAGTTCTGAGGGATTTAAAAGCACCGAGAATGCAAGTACTAGCTTAATCTAAGTGCGATCATGTGATTGATTGATTTTTAAGGTTAACTATAACTAGAATGCAATAAAAATATAACTTTGACAATGAAGATAAAGGAGAACTCATGGGTATAGGAAATTTGACCTTGGGTGATCAAGTTTCGATCTAAGGATGGCAAGCGATCAATTAAACTGTCTACCTTAGGCCTAGATACGATTCTAAACAAGCTCTATGTCTAGATGAATGTTCATTTACTAATATAACTCAAGCATCAAATGTCTTTGGTTGAATATTATGAAAGTAATCATTAGGAATAGATCTATTAGCCATCTTAACACCTTTAACAACAAGTGTCCCTGGTAAAGACTGTTAAAAGCTTAAGAGAGTTGACTCAGACATTTCATCGAAAACTTTGTGAGTGGGAAATGTCTAGAGATCAACCTTTGAGTGATCAATTCAAAAGAGACATTATGGTTACTCTAATAAGCAAGGAACAAGAGAAATCTAACACTAAAACATCCCAAATCTAACCTAATCAGCCTTAATCTCCCTAACCCATGAATTCAAAAGGTGATTACTCACTAATCTCCATGATTCCTCTTAAACCTATATTGGATTTCAGATTAATCATGTAAAGAAATAGATAAGAAATCAACAAGAACACAATATGAAAGCAATGAAATCTCAATCCAAAAGAAGTTTTCTTCAAGAACAAAAGATAATCTGCCTCTAGAGGCTTACAACGTAGTTTTAAACTTAGGTTTTTCCAACTCAAAACGTAAAAAAAAAACGAAATTTCAAAAAGGTCCCCGAAACAAGTAATTTTCGACCAAACATAGGCGCGCAACAGGGTCACAACCCCGCTGCCAAGGGCCGCTGTGAATGCTCTCTTTTTCTTTCGGAAAAGGCGAGCGGCCCCCTAGCCCCGCTGCGTGGGTCCGCTGTGGTCTGGGCCGACCCCCTGACTCCGCCCCGCGACCCTGCTCCGGCTGATGTTGCTTGCAGCGACCTCTTGACTCCGCTGTGGCTGCTCCGGCTCGCCAAATGACATCTTTGCACTCTCTTTTGGCACATAATTGATCCCAAACACTTCGAAGAACTCCATAGCATGTTCCACCACCTGATAAAGACAAATGAATGCAAAATGCAACCTAAGAATGCCTAAATCTAATCTATATGCTCAACATGAACAAGAATGCAAGGTTAAAACCAAGTAAATATGCAACATATCAACTCCCCCAAACTTGTCCTTTACTTGTCCTCAAGTGAACTTTCAAGGACTTATGGAAAGAGAGGTTTGAAGGTGGGAACTCATAACCAAGAGAAACACATCTAACTCAACTTAACATCCCACAGAGACACTCCAAGTAGCACGAGCACACTCTCTTATAACACTCTAGCTTCTCTAGGCCTATCAAAACACTCTTATGCCTTTAAACAAGATACAATACTCTCTAATTTACAAGTCTTTAAACCAGCCCTCACATTAGTTCACACACACACACACAAAGTGAAGTCTCACAAATGGGCACATGATCTCAATCATTTGGCTAGGCAAGCAATAGGTCTAATGAGAATAAAAAGGCGGGTTCAGATGCATCAGTTTTAGTGACTATCACTCAAGAACAAGGAGCTTGATCATTATGCAAAATTTATCTAAGACTAGAAGCAACTGATGTATACATAGCCTTGTTCTCATCATTCTACCCTTCTCCTAAGTGATCACAATTTCTAACCCTTTCTTTCTTCATCTCATACCCCAAATAACCTTTGCTCACATCACTCACCCAATGAACAAGTTCTTCTCTTCTTTTTTTTTTTTAGCACAACCAACTAGGGACTCATCACAAGCTTTCTACTTTGTAACTCCAACTCTTCTTCTTTACACATCTCCTCCCCCAAATTTATTTCTTTGTTTCTTCTTCTTTTTTTTTTATGGGAATGGTTCGTTAATACATAATCTAGAGCTTCTTTTTCTTTCTTTTAGTCCCCAATGGCTTTCTTCTTTTCTCAAGACACACTTTGTTTAAACTTTCTCATGATCTCTCATTCAAAACCCAAGATATTAACTTTAGAACACATAAACCCACCCACCATCCTAGATGCTAGCTCAAAAGAGGTTCCTATGCTAGCAAGATATGAGAACAATCATATGTCGCCTCCAATACTCTCAAGATTTTGCACATGAAAAACTATCAAAAGAAGGTCTCACTCATGCGAATCAAATGTTTGGTCTCAAAAGAATGGCTTGGATTCAAATTGAGGGTGTGGAGTACCATTTGACTTAACAAAAGTGTGGTAAAATGGAATAAGATAACCCAAATGTGTACGAGATCCATGATCAAGTATGCAAGTTCCCATATGCAAGAGAAGTTAAGTTCATTAAGCCAAATTTCAGATTGGAGCTGGTTTTAAGAACAATGTCAATTTAAAGCAAGCAAACATGTTTCAAGAAGAGTTTTGAAGACTCGAAGCGTGCAAGGTTTTTAAGAGATGCTCAAGCTACTTAATGTGTCTAACTAGGGTGTCACTTTGAGCTTTTGACAAGTGTTCTTCACAAGGTGTTTCAAAATAATAGCTCCCAATGCATATGAATGCAAGCTATATGCTCTAGACTCTCCTAGAAATGCAAGTGATGCAACCTACATGATGATTTTTTTGGGTTTTCAAATTTTTCAATTTTTGGTTTTTCTATGCATATATGTATGTAAAATGCAATGCATGAGACTTAAAATCATCAAAGAAAACATGATTAAACACTTGGTACCTCCCCCAAACTTAAGTCACACAGTCTCTGTGTTGTTAAGTAGAGAGAGATACCCAAAAGAAAGACTAATATGCAGAGAAAAACTAGTATATACAATAGAAGGTGATGGAATACCTGCTAGTGGGATTGTGTAGAGGGAGATTCTCCCTCCTTGTCGTCCTCAGGCGGTAGCTCTTCAAGGTGCTCATCAGCAGGAGTGCCCTTCTCTTCAATGGTGAAGGCTTGCCCAAAGACAGTTGGTTTCTTCATTTTCCCTTTGATGTCAAAGTGGAGGATGTTCTCTTTACCGAAATGGAGATCAGTCTTTCCTTCCTTCACATTAACAATAGCTCCTGCTGTAGCTAGGAACGACCTTCCAAGAATCAATGGGTCTTGAGCCTCCTCACCCATCTCAAGCACCACAAAGTCTGTAGGTATCTCATACCTTCCAATCTTCACAGGGAGGTCCTCTAAGATGCCCACAGGGTACTTCACTGAACGATCAGCTAACACCAGAGAGAGTCTACACTTCTTGTACTGAGTGAATCCAAGCTTCTTCGCAATAGACAAAGGCATCACGCTGACACTAGCTCCCAAATCGCAGAGACATTTTTCAAATACCATAGGTCCAAGAGCACAAGGGAGTGTGAAGCATCCTGGATCCTCTAACTTCTCTGAAACATCAAGCCTCTGGATGATGGCACTGCACTCATGGGTGAGAGTCATCATGCCTTCCATCTCTTTCTTCTTTGCAGCTACAACATCTTTCAGGAACTTGCTGTATTGAGGGATCAACATGAAAGCATCAATGATGGGCATTGCAACCTGAGCTTCACTCATTTGCTTTTCAAACAGAGCCTTGTACTTCTCTAGCAGCTTCTTCTTGAATCTACCAGGGAATGT